TCAATTCCACTTTAGATGTAGGAAACCTACAACACTTATTACAAAAAAGTTTTAATTTCTTATATTACATGATCATTGTAGAAAAACTACAATATATAATCTTATGACCCCCCCCCAAACCCCTATATTTTAAATTATATCCTTCTGCTTTTTCTACACCTATATATACAGATATTTATAACTATGTTGTGTTTTTTTAACACATTGTATGCAGGAAACGTATTTATATGTTTTACGTATTTATACATTCTACCAGTGTAGTAGAGCGCGGGATACATATTAATACGTCTTTTATAGACTAGCGGTAGAATGCGGGTAACGTGTAAATACATAAACTAAAGTTATTGTAATTTTATTGAACGTTGCCATTTGCACAAAAAATTAGCAAAAATGGCCCGCGCCACCTGTTAGCGCGCAATAAAAACTACCCACAAACAATGTGTTAATTTATTGATTTGAGTAAGAGAGAAACATCAATTTGTTGTCCCACTTTTTTATGCATTCATTGGTTGCTTCTTCTATGTGTCCTGACTGGGGATCAAACCCAAAACCTTGGCTTATTGGGATGACGCTCTAACCAATTGAGCTATCCATCCAGGGACTCATAACTATATGTGTTCTTTTTGTTGTTTTTGTTTTTAATCCTCACTCGAGGATTTTTAACCCTCATCGGTTTTTAGACAGAGTGGAAGAGAGAGGGAAAGACAGAGATAAATATCGATGTGAGAGAAACAACATCGATGCACTATGACATGCATGAACCCCCTGACGTGGGCCCAGGCCAGAGAGAAGCCTGCAACAGAGGTATGTACCCTTGACCAGAATTGAACTCTGGACCCTTTGGTCCACATGCTGATACTCTACCCCCCTGGGAAAAACTGGCTAGGGCGTCATAACTATGCTAGAGGCCTGCTGCATGATATTTGTGCACAGGTAGGGTCCCTAGGCCTGGCCGGCGATCAGGGCCAATCGGGGCCTTCCGGCTGCTGGCTGGGGCCTCCTTTCCCTGGCTGCCAGTTGCCAGCCAGGGCCTTCCTTCATTCCACGCCATCCCCTGGTGGTCAGTGCATGTCATAGTGAAAGATCGAACTCCTGAGGGGATACTTTGCATATTAGCCTTTTATATATAGATGTTTTAAAAGATATTTTAAATAGGATAATGGGCATATATTCTGTTATGTAGCATTTTCACACTTCATGTAAATTACAAATCTTTTGTAGGCCACTAACCATTGTTTTTCAAGCTAATTTTTTTTTTTTTTTTGCTCTACAGTGTCCCAAACTGTAGGTTTACCACAATTTACTTAATTGTTCTTATTGTTCTTAAATTTTCATTCTTTTAAATAATGCTACAAAAAAGAAAAAAAAGGAATAAGCCCTGGCTGAGTTGCTCAGTTGTGTTAGAGTGTTGGCCCAATAAGCCAAGGTTGAGGTTCAATCCCCATACAAGAATCAACCAATGGATGCATAAATGAGTGGAACAAGAAATCGATGTTTCTCTCTCTCTCTCTCTCTCAAAAAAAAGAAAAGAAAAGAAATCGAATAAAGGAATAAAAGATTTAAAAGGTTGCTGAGTGGTCTGCCATAGTTCTCATAAATAGCAGTGCTTTTGGACTAGTTGAACAAGGTGTTTGCTCCTGTAAACTGTTTCCATCTTTATAGCTACAGTTTTGTCTATATCTATAATTACTTAAAATAAATTTCTCCAAAAAGATTGCTAGGTCAAAGAATAAATATGCTTCCATGTCTTTCAATGGGTTCTGCCAAACTCAGCCACATACACTTCTCAGTATCTTCACCCATATGGGGATTACCATTTTTTAAACTCTTTGCTTGCATAGCAGTTTGAAATCAGTATCAGAACCTTCCCAAACTCCATTCTTTTGTCCCTCTAGTTTTCTGCTGCCCAATCTTTATCTAAACCTCTCTTCACTGCCTTCCCAGACCTTCTTTTGTGTGTGCTTTTCCACTGCTCAAGTCTTATTGATGGCTCTGCTGTAACACTGAAATTTGCCTTGCTAGAATTTTATCCCCTTAGACTCTTAGCGCCAGAGTACCAACCAACTAATCTGGTAGACTAATCCATGCTAATATGAGAGGCTCATTCCCAGCAACATATGTGCAACGTAACTTGAGCAGTTTGAGGAAAATACATTACCTACATCTGCAATGCATTTTATTTCTCTTAAAGCACAGTGGTTCTGTACTTTGAAATCACCTGAGGAGCTTTTAAAAACACTGATGCCTGGGTCTCACCTCCCAGAAATTCTAAATAAAGTTGGTATAAGGTATGACTTGGGCATCAGGATTTTTTAAAGCTCCCTAGATGAATCTACTGTAGCAGCTGTGTTTGAGAGACACAATATTATCTTGTGTCTTAGATGATATTGGAGGACTCCAAGGAAGAAAAGTACAATAAACATAAAATCTTCTGCACAAGATAAAGGAGGTAAGAGCAGATTGAGGGGTGAAGCATTTGCCAATGACAATAGAATAAAAATTAAAATTTGTGTTCTTCTTGATGGGGAGGCATGAGTCTGCTGTGTTAGGAAGTAGGCCAAGCTTCACTTCCGAAGTAGCTTCAGTTGCTTCTGTATTGAACCAATCATCTCTAAAATTATTTGGCTAACAAACTTTATGCCATGAAATGTCTGTGGTAGCTCCCCAGGTTTCAATTACTTCCAATTTACATTTATTTTATTGTTCCAACACAGTTAGGCAAACCCACAGATTTGGGCATCTCCACAAGCCTAGCAGACCTATGGGACCACTCTTAAAAGAGTAACTACAATTTTCAGGCCTTTAAGTACATTACTAAACCTCACAACAACATTACAAGGCTAGCCCTAGTTTACAGGGAAAGCTGAGGATCAGAGCAGGTTAGGAAACTGCCTGGCCTCCCAATCAGTAAGTGGTCTGGCTGGGATGTGCTTGGGGAAGGCAGGACTCTAACACTCATGCTCTTATCTAATTACAAGGTGTCAAGCCACATTGTCCTTTCCCCGGGACAATCTGAAACAACGTTGGAAAATTGCTTTACCTGGCATTAGAGGCTTCCGTGTGGTCTGAATGATTTTTCTGTTTCACAATTCCAAAGGCAAGTGATGAGAGCCACTTCTGTGCAAAGCCAGTCCCAAGCTATGGTGCTAGGTGAGGACACTTTGCTACTTCATCTATATCTGTGACCTGGCATTACATACATTATCATCCCCAAACACCGGCTAGGAGCACATTCTGTAAAGGACCATAGGATCCAAAGACCTTGACTTTAATGGGTCGGTAGCCTCGTTGGGGAAAAAATGGCTTTTCTTGCTACCTGGCTTTCCTCAGATTACGTATGACGGGGAAGACTTCTTTGGTGACCTGAAAACTAAAATTAATCTCTGTGGCAAACACAGAAGTTTCATTCTTCCCCCCATCGCCCCACCCCCGTTTTTCTTCTTCTTCTTCTTCTTAGTCGCCGTTTTTTCTTACTTACTATCTACTATTTCCTAAAGGCTATTTAACCCACTCCAGGTAAATAGCATTGTACCCCGGAATCCCAAATTCCATAATTTCTGAAGGAAAACAGGGATTGCAGCGCTTCCTCCATGAAGACTGCCTTTCATGACATCAATGCTGGAGAAGGGGTGGTCATTCTTTACCATGTTAACATTCTAGGGAGCAGGAGGAAAGGAAGGAAGAGGTTCTGTACCTTCATAGACACCTCTTAGGAGACAGCAGGAGACTTGGGGGGTGAAGAAGGTGGCTGGACTCAAGAGAAGCAAATCCCTACTAGGAATATGCTACAATGCCCTAGTAAAGGAGCTTTTTGATAGGACAAAGCCTCAGAGACTATGGAATCTTACACACAATGAGGATGGAGAGGGATAAGGAATAGTAGGAAAAATCATGATTTCCCCCCCTTCTCTAGTCATTCTTGAAAAAAAAAAAAAAAAGAGCTTACAAAAATAACCTGAGATTAAAGCCTAAGGTTGGAGGAAGAGAGGAAACTTGATTTTGGAGGAAGGCTAGGAGCTTAGAGAGAGCAAGCTGCTCAGAAATGCTGTACAATCATAGCTCTCCGCCTTGGCTGCAGATGGTAGTTTAGGTTTTAGAGTCTCTGGCACTGAAAATAAGGCCTCTTACCACAGAATAAAGCAGAGACAGTCATATTTTCCCGTTTATGGGGGGAAAGAAATAGCCATGATCCCGTAGAGAGAAATGTTACCCTACCAGGGTAAGCCCCGGCAAGCCAGGGTATCCTGGCTCAGGCAAAGGTTATCTCCTCCACAGCCAAGGACATCAAATAAATGCTGCAGAGCAGGCAGGGAACAAATGCATCGTGCAAACACGGGCTGCTGCCTCCAAGCCTCTCCCGCAGCCAAGCCAGCCCGGCCTCCTGGCCTGCTTCCTTGGGCTCGGCGGGTAAACGCCACGCATGAAACGGGAGATCTGAGCGGTTCCTCAAGTGCTCAGAGGAGCCCAGACTGCTGGCCCGGTAGCGGAGAGCTCACAGCCTGGGGGTGTTGGTTGGGACACCGCCTGTGCCGGCTTCTGCTTTTAAGGTGGCTGCATTGCTGGGAATGAGAGCCGGTTTTTTCCAGAGCTGTCCTCAAAGCTAACTCGCTCTGGGCCGACCCCTATCGGAGAATGAAATGGGGGAGAGGTTTCCAAAACGCTGAAAGATTTTTGTTGTTCATCCTCACCCGAGAATATTTTCCATTGATTTTGAAAGAGAGAGAGTGGGAGGGAGGGGAAGAGGCAGAGACAGAGAAACACTGATGTGAGAGACACACAGATTGGTTGCCCCCCGCTGGCGCCCCGACCAGGGCCAGGTATTGAGCCTCCATCCGAGGTACATGCCCTTGACCAGAATCGAACCCGGGACCCATGAGCTGCCCGGCCGCCGGCTAGGGCGAAAGATTGTGTTTGTTTTGACGTTGCAAACCAAGAAAGAGGAAGCTGCGTAGGTCAGATGAAGGGTTAAACAGTTGTCAAATGCTATGCAAGAACTTCACCTTCTCCGTCGCCCACGCAGACAAGGAGACACGGAGCGAGCCCGCGGCTGCTAGCAAGGCGGCGAATGCGAAACCCCCAAAATGCCCCCATGGAACCACCTTAAAAAAAAGCTATTGCCTCACTGCGTTCGAAAAACATGCATTCTCGTGGGATACGGTCCGGAAATTTTGCTTCCCCTTCAGATACCGCTTAAGAGGAGGGAGAGAAAAACCAGCGCTGGGCTGCATCTCACCACTTGCTGTGCGCCCCGGAAAGTCGCGTCCAGCAGCATCAGCTTCCAGGGGTCGGACAGGGAGCTGGGCAGGGGGATGTAGATGTAGTAGGCGGCCAGCGCCACCAGAGCGGTGAGCACCACGCAGGACGTCCTCATCCTCCCCCGGGGCGGCTCGTCTGCGGGTGGACGCGGACGAAAAGGGCGATGCCACCCCAAGACCTCAAGCAAGTTTCTGCGAGGGCCGGCGGCTCATTCACTGGTGCCTTATATGCCCAGGAGCCAATCAGAGGCGGCGCCGGGAGGAAGTGGGAGCGCGGACGTGCCCCCTCTCCGGTGTCCTTGCAAAGTGCACTCACTCCAGGCTCGAGAAAGCGCTGAGGCTGCTCTCTGGGCGCCGCCCAGCGGGCTCTGGAGGACACAGGTCCTTACTGCACGCCCGTGACCAAGGGCTGCCCCCTGAAGGTTCTCAGGTGGGAAGCTGAAATACTGTTTGTCCAAAGCCTTGCTGACTCAGAATGGAGAAACTGAGAGAGAGAAAAATCCACTGTCTTGCAATGGAATGAAATTCTAGCTGTGTGGTGGAGGAAGATAATTACAAATTCTTATGGGTCAAACAATGGCAAACCAGTAGTAGTTCTAGTACCTATGTCTTGATTTCTAAATCCCATGCTCCAGCCCTGGCCCCTGTGGTTCAGTTGGAGCGGCTTCCAGTGTATGGAAAGGTCGAGGGTTCGATTCCGGTCAGGGCACATACCCAGGTTGGGGGCTTGATCCCCAGTAGGGGGTATACAGGACGCAGCTGATGGATGATTCTCTCGTCACTGATGTTTCTATCTCTCTCTCCCTCTCTGAAATCAATAAAAATGTATTTTTTTAAAAGATAGACTCTCCCTCGCTCTCTTTCTGGCAGATAGAATACAGGATTGACCCTTTGTGCTAGAAGATCGAAAAGTGCTTAAAAAATGAAGGGGACTGGTCAAAAGGAGCCAAGAGGCAGTTTTAAGGATATCCCAATGCGATATCCTTTAACCCAATGGTTAAAGCTGGGGTAATTTTAACATCAAAATGAACAATAATGATGGATTTTAAACCATTGAATGAAATAAAAAATACACAAGTCTATACTAAAAAATATTAATAAGTGGAGAAATGCGACCTGAAAAAAAATCCATAGTAGGTCAATGGAACCCTACAAAATACTCGGATCCCGAACGACAACCTGAGCTAAACATATTTAAAAGGGTACTTTTGTTGTAAAATATTATCCTTTGCCAGACTGTCCAAGTTCATGTGTTTTGTCCTCCTCAAGGCCTAAACTGAGTTGATAGGAACCAAGCCAACTCTCTAATCAAAGTTTGCTATGGGGACGCTTAACATGCCAAAAAGGATATATTTCCTACAGATTCCATGTTGAGCAAGATACCTCCTGACTTTTTAGGCCTACCTTTCATTTTATCCAGGTTGTAGATTACCGTAACTGCCAGAATTTATGGCAAAATGAAGAAACTCAACATTAAAGATATATTGTTGTTGAAAATTGAATTATTTACTGTAATTTTGCTTTTCTCTTATTAAACTTCCTACCTCATTGATTACTTTTTGTAAAATCTTAAAGTAATTTAAAATTCTTACTACACCTACTAAGAAGAAAGAGGTTTGTCTGTTTTATTCACTGCATATCCCTAGTGGCCTGGCACATAGTAGATGCTTAACAAATATTTTTAATGAATGAATATCATGAAGCATTGGTAAATTAACTCAATACATTTATAAAATTGAATGAAAATGTCATTTATACAAATTATCAATAAGTACATTTAGAGGAATCATAGATTCAGAGAAAAAGACAAGGGAAAAAAGAGGCAGAGTAGGTAAAAATAGGAGAAAAAAAGGAAGTGTTGGAGGAAAAACATAAACAGGAAAGATTTAAACTAACTCTCCAGAAATATTCATTTATTACACATTGTTTAAAAGGTGAACCATCTGCCACACAGGCATGGCTCAGTGGTTAAGCATTGACCTATGAACCAGAAGATTCCCAGTCAGGGCACATGCCCGGGTTGTGGGCTCAATCCCCAGTGTGGGGTGTGCAGGAGGCAGCCGATTGATGAATCTCATCATTGATGTTTCTATCTCTTTCTATCTTTCCCTTACTCTCTGAAATCAATAAAAATATATTTAGAAATAAAATAAAAAGTGAATCATCTGACTCTTCATATGCTTTATAGTGAACGAGAGGCCCAGTGCATGAAATTTGTGCACAGGTAGGATCCCTAGGTCTGGCCGGCAATCAGGGCCAATCTGTGGGGCAACCAGTGGGGCAATTGGGGGCCCCCACTGGCACCCGCCTTGGCCAGCCTGGCGCTGCCCATTCACGGGCCCTACTTCCTGCTGCTGCCACCAGTCACCTCCCTCTGTGGGGTGACCAGCGAGACAATTGGGGGGGCCCCCACTGGCACCCACCTTGGCTGGCCTGGGGCCTATAGGCTGGGGGCAGCTCCTGCATTGAGCGTCTGTCCTGTGGTGGTCAGTGCACATCATGGCAACCAGTCATTCCACCGATCATTCAGCCGTTAGGTCGATTTGCATATTAGGCTTTTATTATATAGGATAAGTTTGGGCCCTACAAAAGGAACAATATTTCAAAGAAAACTTGCATGAGTACCAAGATGGGCATTTGTTATATCTGTGTCCTCCTGAAATCTTTTGAAAAACTTTTTTTAAAAAATTTACAAGAACAAAATCTTTGTTCATCTAGTCCAGGGGTGGGCAAACTTTTTGACTCGAGGGCCACAATGGGTTCTTAAACTGGACCGGAGGACCGGAACAAAAGCATGGATGGAGTGTTTGTGTGAACTAATATAAATTCAAAGTAAACATCATTACATAAAAGGGTATGGTCTTTTTCTTTTTTAGTTTTATTCATTTCAAACAGGCCGGATCCGGCCCGCGGGCCATAGTTTGCCCACGGCTAATCTAGTCTAAAAGCACTGCTATTTATGAGAAATATGGGGGACCACTCAGCAATCTTTTTTATCTTTTATTCCTTTATTTTATTTATTTTTTTTTGAGAGAGAGAGAGATATCAATTTGTTATCCAATTATTTATTCATTCATTGGTTGGTATTTGTTGTGCCCTGACCAGAGATCAAACCTGCAAGCTTGGCATATTGGGATGATGCTCTAGCCAACTGAGCCACCGGCCAGGGCTGAACACTTTTTCTAAATGTTTGTAGTTTCCCACATTGTGAAACCCAGGTCTGCAAGTTGGAAGCTATGAATGTCAACTTCCCAGTCTCTCCCACATCCCAGACACCCAACATGTGCCCTGGATTCTGTCATTAGCAGCACTCATGGAGTCCTAATTCAGTTATGGACCAACCATGTGGTCTGCAAACCTCTTCCACCTAGCTTCCTCCTCTGTAAATTATAGGGTTTTATAAAACTCCTTGTTTTCTTTTATAAATTAGATAAGGAAAGACGTAAGCTGACTTTCACAAGCAACACTATGCATTTTGGTTTTTAAGCAGCCTAAGGTAGTATAAGGTTTCTTGGTAGGCTTAATAGCCTGTTAATACCTGTTGAAACTGACCCAAAAGAGAAAGAGCCATGAGGCTTGGCGGCCATGGGAAGAATCCATGATTAATGATGACTGTGTATTTGGGATGGCACAAGATAGAGACTTCTGGGTTGGGGTCTGCACCAGCAGCAAAAAAAAAAACCCCACACAAAATAGTAAGCACAGTGATGGCATAGCAGCTTTGGAATAAAATGAAAATCCTTGATGGTTATCAAGCAGCAAGAATAGGACTGGAAACTACAGAGGTCCCAGCATAGTTGTCTTCTGTGTCATCATCATTATCGTCATTGTCACAAACACCTCTTGAGTGTTTCTCTGTATCAGACAGTATTCTAAGTATTTTTTGTACATTATATTATTTAATCTTTTAAAAATATATTTCCACTCTTACTATAGATAAATGTATATAGTTATAAAAATGGTTTCATACAACATAAAGTTTTATTACCTGCTTTTATAACTTTGTGTATTATAAATATCTTTTTTTGTCTTTGAAAACAGAGCTTCTCCAACCATCCTTGGTGAAAGACCAGGGTTATTTTTTCAATTCTTTCAGGCCAGTATTTTTGTTATGTTACCCTGTGATCATCCACTTGGATGTCACAGCAAGATATTCAAGTTTCTAAATGCTAACTTGTAATTTCTGTACTTATCTCATTGCAAACTTAGAATAGTTTATAGACTGGTTCTGGTCTACAGATCACACTTTGAGTAGCACTGTTTTAAAACACCTAAAGCTATTGCACAGTATGAAGAAAAATGAATTTGATAACCAGTCCTGTTGAGGATATCCGATAGCATTGTTCAAGGGCAGTGCCTCCATTAGTGGCTCTACTAATTTTATTGCCTTGAGAAACAAGTTAAGCTCAGCTGGAAATAAACTATACTTTGCTATAAAATCAACTCCCTATAGCATGCTGTGGGTTATAGAAACTTGCACTTCTACCTAGCTTTATATTATTCTTCTACATCTAATCAGTCACTAGCAAGTCTTCAATTTTGTTTACTCTGCCTCTCACACTTCTTTTTTATTGCCATCACCCTTGTTCAGAACTATAGAAGCATGATTCATGAACTATTACAAAGGCCAATTTAATAGTCTCCTTGCCACCAGTATCTTCTTCCTCTTCCTTCTCATGTTCCTTGTTTAGAAAATGAAGTAGCAGAGACTGTTTTTAAGGTGTTCTCTAGATCTAATAGTCCATGATTTATTCTCTTGTTGTTCTTACTGACTCTGCTCTGTCCAAAATACCTTATTGTAAGTTTCACATTGTCATCTTGACCACAAAAAAAATAGGTACAAAAGGGAAGTACAGCCTGGAGATGAGCAGCTGAAATTTAAAAGTTACAACCTGGCCTAATATGCTGACACCTTGGATTGATGTTTTCTGGTTTTTTTATTTTTTATTTGGTACTATATCCTCAAAGTAATTAATATTTTTGTGCCTTAGAAAGATAATCCCTAAGAAGAATGAGAACTAATAATGAAAATAGTATAGAAATAAGAAAAATAAATAAATCCATAGCATTAATACTTTTTTAAATACTTAAAGAAGTAATAAGTTCTGTAATCTACATAATTTGTGTTTTTTAGTTTGATAAATGTGTATATCATATTTAACAAAATTTGATATGTCAGACTTTTAATTTTTAACTAATAATTATGAAATTTTGAAATATTTCAATGTCTCTGTAAATAATCAATGCTGAAATTAAATTTGATTTAGTATTTCATAATAACTCATGCTTAAACAATTCTTGTAATAAAGTAGTATTAAACAAAGTACATATAGG